TATGATATAAAATAAACTAATTTTTATAAATAATATACATAGTGTATTTTTTGAGCAGTTATAATAGATAGATCTAAGTCAATCTTGATTATTTTAATTAATTACTTTATTCAATTTGATTCGATTGATTTTCAAAATCGAAACAATTAATACGTTTTTTATATAAAATATATCAATAACTAAATTTTTGCTCATTTTATATTCTTAATTCATTACAATCTATAATTAATAATGATTTTAAGTTATATTATTGAATTTAAGGTAAGTGTTACTCATTAAATATTAATTTTCATATTTTATATTTATCAAAATAAATGAAAACACAAATGCTTAAAAGGAATGAAATAGTCAAAATTACATAGGTTTTAAATTTCTTTAACGGTAAGCAAATTTCACTTTTACTAGAAAATCAATCTGTGCTTCAATGAGGAATTAATAAAAAAAAATTATAATATACATCTATATCATTTAATATTAAAAAATTATTATCAAATATAAAAGAATTTACATAACGCAATATTAAAATATTAAATATAAAGAGTTTCAAAGCTTAAAATACAAATAATATATTTAAAGGATAGTTTAAGGAAACACTTATAATTTTGATAACTAAAAACAAAATATATAAATCTCAATTAAAAATTCATATAATATCTACAGAGTGATAAATAATTTTTTTACCCAAAATATGATTTTTATTCATAAAAGAATGTTAAAGATCTACAATATAAGGGTAGAAAAATATAATCTATTAGAAACAAATTCAACCAAAAAATAAAATAAAATAAAACCTTTCAATCCAAACATAAAACATATCAATCCTATTATCACCTAAATTAGTCAAATAATTAGCTAATGACTTTACTTATATTAAACTCAACCTTTCAAATCTCAAGGCTAAGTCTACCTAATCTACTAATGAATTTACTTCTCTTAAAATCTCAACATCAAGTCTACCTATTTCATCGAAAGATTAACACTCATTCCAAGATCACAAGTAGCTTATTTGATGGGAAAAATATCAGCATGCAAGTAACTTCTTTGATGGCAAAAATCTCAACATAATTTCTTTCATTATTTTTTAAAAAACCTATCCTATAAATTAGAATCTTATTGTAATTGGCCAAAATCTTATGGTAAATGTTTTAAGCACCTGCTATCATAATCTTAAAAAGTTTGCTTACTTTTTTTATTTTTCTTTTTTAAGTTCAATCATTCACTCATTAGTTAATTAAAACACTTTAGTTATCCAAACTAATTTAAAACTATCCAAACTAATTCAAAACTTTGATAGTATCCCCTCTATTAGTACAGGAGGGGCCACCATATCAAGATTCACTGATTCCCTTCTATTACTCTATTTTTTTCTTGAATCCTAAATATAAGGATTTAGGACATTTTAGAAAACAAAACGTTCAGAAGTTTATAATCAATAAAATATCAAGAGTCATTTTCTTACACTTATTTTTGCTGGAGAAAATTGGTCGAGTTATATCAACAAACAAAATATGGGATTTAGCGACTCTACTTTTAATATCTTAAATGATTTTATCATATCCATATTTTTCAAAATTTGTAAATACAAAGTAAGGTGACTGTAAATGATTCTATAAGTTAACACACTTAATCTTATATTTAAATTGAGAAAATATTAAATTGAACAAATTATAAAAAAGCACTCAAATTGAATCCTCCATGATGAGATCTAAAGATGTAATAACAAAATTTTTTACTAAAGACAAGCATGAAACTATAACAAAATTTCTTGGCCCCTGGGGAAAGGTAACCATGAAACTATAACAAAATTTCTTGGCTCTTGGGAAAAGGCAAGCATGAAACTACTATATAAAAGGTATCTAGGGCAGTAACTAAATTGATCAACGTGTTTTTAGAGGAATGCATCTTTTCATAAAGTTCAATTGTAAACTCGACATACTCAATATGCATAAATTTAATAAAGTACAAAAAATAAAAAATAAAAGCACTAAACCTACCATAATAAGCAAAAAAAAAAAAAAAGAATTAATTTAAACATCTTTTTTTTGTTTTTATCAGTTTATTATTTTTATTATTATTATTATTTTTGCTTTAACACTTCTATTTTTAAGAAAATCAACATGCTCAAAATGCATTTTATTAATGCAATGTAAGCAAATTAATATCTGATAGAAATTTGAGTTGCTAGTAATTTTGCTATATATAAATATATATATATATATATATATATATTAAAATAAACCTAAAAATTGAAAATGGTCTAAACTAAAGATTATCACAAAAATGAAAGAAAAAATATCTATAATGAGGTTCTCAAGTGAAGATAATTGAAGAAAAAGTTCACCTTAGGTCAGAGTCTTTTTTATTTTTATTTTTATTTTCATTTTTTTCTTTATTGTTAACAATAACAACTACTTGCAAATGTACAAAACATTAAATAACTATTGCTATTGCACATTATAATGAAAAAATGATGTACCAAACAGAGCAAATTTTTTATTTTGATACTACACACAAACTCATTATATATTAAAAAGACCATTAACCATCAAATAAATAGAAATAAGTGTTAGGTATATACATGAAAATGGGCACAACTTGGTCAATATCTTTAAAAATCATTGTCAAAAAGTATTTTGAAAGGTTTCACTTTTCTAAAAATTGAGTTCAATGTGCAAGGATTCTATTAGCAAAATGAAACAAAAACGAAAGGGTGGTCGTGAATCTTTTAATTTTTCAAGACAATTTAATCATAGTAGATGAAACATCGTTGCTTTGTAAGAAAATCAACGAATCCACATTGATTTTTTGAGTTAATGAAAGAAGTTTCTTCTTGGTGCTCCTATTAAAATACCTCAAGCTTAAAATAAAAAAATTCTTACAAACAATAACTCAATGAGGAACGAAAGAAGGAGCTCTAAGGCTACGAATGGTTGGTTTACGTTTAAAAAAAATAAGTGGATGTAAGTTCATTTTTATCCTAAAAGGTAGATATGTCTATCACCATTGATATTTGGATTATATAATTTATTTACAAAAACTTAAAAATATTATTAAAAATTTATTAAATTCTTTTTGTGTCTTAAAATAAACAGTTCACATCGATAAAAATCTAGAGATAAAATTATGTAAGTCATAATATTTTTATTTAAATATAAAATTTAAAAATAAATTTAAAAGTCATAATAATTGATAAAACATGTTCACGTCAACATGTGTGCATGTTTATTGTTACTTACAGATGCTTTTATTTTATTTCCAATAATTATCTGACAGTTTGAATACTTTTTTTCTCTAATGAACTGATTGTATCTATTCCATTATCTCCCATGATATTTACTTTTGAATGCAAACTTTACTATAATAAAAACAAATGAGATAATTTCGTTTTTATCTTAAAAGGAATACAGATTTCTCATAATAAGTGTTTAAGCTTATCCTTTATATGTGAAAATTCAAAATTATTATTAACAAATCTATAAATTTCTTTTGTGTCCTAAAGTGGACATTTGTCGCGTAGATAAGAAATTGTAAACAAAAAAAATTGGAGATAAGATACTTTACACATTAAAAGTAAAAAAATAATTTTCATGAGAAAATAACTAAATAACAATTCTAATTAGGTGGAATTATAAAACATTGATTTTCCTTATTTACTGAACTTTAAATTTTAAACTCAAAATATTTATGTGGTTAATGGGATATGAATTTTTAATATGTCGGATCAAAATACAAAAAGAATATTTGCTTATATTGTTGACACGATGCTATTTACAATTTTTAAAAAAAAAGAAGATTGCAATCTAAAATAAATAAATTTATATAAATTAATATTTAAATTTTAAACTTACTTAATATCATATTTTAAAAATAATTATTTAAATCAATTGAAATAAAATTTTGATTTGTCCCATTTGATTTTAATATTGATTTCAATACACGTTTTCCTTTCCCTTTTTATATTTAACTTGAAAATTAAAAAATATAAAAAACATAGACTTTGTTGCAAAAGGCCCACCTCACTCATAGCGTAAATGGTTTGAAAAATTGAGAACAAAAAGTGATAAAAACTATTTTTTCACAACTTTTTTATAAAGTTGTTTAACTTTTGGTTACCACAGTCATATAATTTTTTGAGTAATGCAACATTAAAATATGTGATTTGAAACAAAAATGATAAAACTTTCTATTATAATTTTTATATTCCTTCTTATAATTTCACATAAAAGCAATTACTAATTTTTTAATTTGTTACTACTATTTTTTTATGTATTATTTTATTTTCTTATTTTTATATATTTGTTGTAATGTAATAATTTTTCTAAAATGTTAATACCTTTTCATATGTGTAGTAACTTTTTTTTTTAAATGATTTTTTTACATTTTATGAGATATTACTATTTTTTCTTATGGCTTATAATTTTTATTATTTGTTACTACTTTTTCTTATTTGTTATTATATTTTTTTATATTTTACTATTTTTTGTTATTTGTTACTACTTATTTATTTATTTATTAATACTTTTTTCTAATGTATTACTATTTTTTATAGTTTTAAATATTTTATGTGTTATTATTATTGCTTTCTAATGATTTATTATTTTTTATGTGCTAAACTATTTTTTTATGTTTTAATTTTTTATATGTTACTTTATATTTTCTTGCGTGTTATTTAATTTTTTTATTTTGAATTACTTTTTGATGTTTCTATTTAATCTTATTTATTATTAGTTTTTATTACTTTATAATATTTTTTCTTATTATTTGTTAATATTTTTATTATGATTTGCTACTTATTACAATTATTTTTTTGTTATAATTAAATTATTAAAACAAATTTAATTACATAAACACATTAAATAAAAACATGCGAGGGGGAGGAGTATTTTATATGAAAATCCCATACAGCTTTGAATGAAGATAAGCTAAATTTACAACAGGGTTACCGACAAAAAGGTTTAAAAAAAAAAATCTTTTAAATAACTTTTAATCAAAGGCTCCCGAAAAATATAAAACTTTTAAAGTTGTAAATCGCTTTCTTTTTTGGCTTCATAATTAAAACTGTTTAATCACGAAACCAACCAACATATATCTGAATCGAAAAGCTAAAATCCAATCATTACTTTAATCCCCACTCTACAAATGATTAATCATCCTCTCCCCTAGCTTTGAGAAAACCCATACCCAAAAGAACGGTTCACTGGTGCAGGGTGCTTCCATTTTTGTGTGGCTTGGAAAGTGAAAGATTAAAGGGAAGAAAGGGAGTTTGGTTGATTGGTTTGATGTGGTAAATCCCATTTGATCGATTTGTTTGGGGAGGGAAAGCAAAAAAAGGAAAGAGAAGGGATATGGTGGGATGAGGGAGTGGAGGAAGGAGGCAAAACGGAGAGGGAGATGGCCAGAGAAGGCAGAGCCAAATGGGGCGGTTTTGGTTCCGGTTTGGGTCAGTGCTCGTATAAAAGAATCACTCTGATTGTTTGCTCTATCAACATTTTTATTGCTCTCTATGTTCTTTGTTCTCTCTATTCTTCTCTCTACATTTATCCCAATAAAGATAATGGTAAGTCACTATCAGCTTTGCCCCCTATTTTTGATAAAATCTCTTGATCAGTGTTTTACTTTTCTGGATTTTTTTTTTTTTTTGTAGTTGTAAAGTATACACCAGATCAGATTAGGAAAATGGCAGAATCAATTAAGATTCGAAGAGCAAGTGAACCCATTGAGCTTGTTAAATTGGTTTGCAAATTACCCATATTTTATTTTTATATATATATTTTGGATTCCTCCCATTTTGTTGGTGATAATGTTTTTAATTTATACTGATGCTGTTGAATTTTGATGTCTGTAAATCAATGTAAAGCGATTAAAGCATGAATTTTGGAGTGAAGAATCAGTGGCTGAACTGCCACAGGCAGTTAAACATAAGATAACTGATGAAATCCTGCAGAGATTGAGAAGTTTGAGACCAAATGCCAACATCAGTGAGCAGCAAGGTTGGTGTCTGCCTTAGTTTCTTTTAGTTTTTAATTGTTTTGTTCGATTATATTACAGTTTAAAGTTAACTTGATGTTTTATTTCTATTTATTCTTATTTAGGAAGTAGTGTTTTATTATAATATAGCTATACAAAGTTTGAGCATTTATGATGTATAGGAATAGGACTGTTAGGTGTAAGTTCAAAGATTACAATCTTTGTATGAGCTGGCAACTACAAATATTACAAGTTAATGAATAATCTGTTATTGAATAAATCAAAGTCTTAAGTCTTAACTGCTTTCTTATTATGGCAACTTGTAGATGTGTGATTAGCTGGTTTAGCATGTAGTAGATATAAGAAATGAAATAATGACATCGCAAATTTTATGCATGCAAAATTAATTCTGTGGATATGCAGGCATGATTATTCTGTTTTCACCCCAAAATAGATTAGTATCTGATAATTATGCACATTTTTGGTAGAAAGATTATGGCTGCTGGAACATGAGCTTCTTAGGGATAATATTCTCAGAAGGCAAATGGAAATCTACATTAATTCTTGAAGAAATCCATTTTGAAAATTTGTTCCCGTCATCTATGATGTGTTTCCCTAAGAAGAATACCTCAAAAAGCTTCATAAAAATAGGGAAGTTCAATTCTTAAGTGCATTAATGCTCTAGCCTCTAGGTTCATATTGCTTAATTTCCGTTAGGTATGACATGTTATGCTTCCACTTTCTTTCTTACATCTTATCAAGGGCCATAATCTTATCAATCTAATGTCATCCAATAGTCCAAGAATGGACCTGCTTTATAAATGATGGATAGATAAATTCTTTAGTACTTCTAAGTTACTCGAATTGAGGGCTAACTCTGAATAATAATTTGCAGAAGATCATGGTTAACTGACTGATTGCATTAAGATGAAATGCAATGTTTGTATTGTGGGGTGCTGGGTTATGATGTGTCAAGATTCTTTTCTTTCTTTTATTTGTTTAATCAATGAAAAAACATATTATGCATCATGATTCTTTATTGAAGAAGGGTTTTGATTCATAGCAATATATTTCTAACAGTAAAATTAAATAAAAGCAATCAGGTTTTTTATTGGTTTCTGCTCATTAAATTCTCCTTCCAAATTTTGTGTAGTTCTTACAATATTTTAGCGTATAATGGTTATTTTATCACATCATGCTTTTACTCATGTGACTTTTTTTCCTGGTATCATATTCCTTTATGACATAAATTGGAGCTGAGTACTTGATTACATGATGTCTGAGAGTGCTATGCATGTTCCATGCACCTAATTTCCTAGAAGCCAAGTATCCTCTGTTCTCCTTACTTTGAAGACACAACTGCAGTACCTTTTCAACTCTTGCCATGGTAATAAGCCATGCGCCTCTGCTGTTGGTATGACTTTTAGAATGGATAATTCATTACATAGAAGAGTCTTTATATGGTTCTGGTGCTTTTGGAGAGCCATTTATACTTATCTTTTTGTTCCCTTTTCTTTTGGTGTAGGAAGGAGTGAGTTTTTTTACGTTCTGATTTTGGTTTTGACTTATACCTCATTACATGGATTCCTGCTGACTATTTAGGAATATAAGATAGGAAGAAAATAGCTTAACTCTCAAGGAAATAATCTTAAAGAGGCCACAGTACATATTATGTTGGGAATTGTGCATTTCATGGATTTGACATTGCCCAAATTGAATGTGTATGTCGGTTGAAAACTGATAGTTATTGATAATTTTCGGAACTATTATGAGCCAGAACCCTTTTTCAGTTTTTCATTTTCAGCAGGCAATATTAATTTCTGTAAAGGGAATCTGGATTATTTTGTTGCTGCTTGCTGACCGGCTCTAAATCTAAAGATCTTTACTTTTACGATTTGATAGAAATGGAATCTTGATATGCTCTAAGTGATGCAGTTCCAAATCAGCAGCAAGCTGTTTTTAACTATCACAGGATTGCATAGCTGATTGGCTCTAAATCTAGAGACCATACTTTTATAATTTCATAGAAATGGAATCTTGATATGCTCTAAGTAATGCTGTTTCCAAATCAGCAGCAAGCTGTTTTTAACTAACACAGGATTGGATAGACTCTTATAGACTATATGCTTTGAATTCCTCAACAAGACTCCCAATTCTCCAAGTAAACCCATTTTGGCAATTAGGTAAGAGTTATCCTACAAGTATTTGCTGTGTGTCAGAAGAGTTCTTTGAAAGTAGTCATTGTTAATGCAGGTCTCATGTTTAAGGACTTCTAATCAGCTGTGGGTATTTATTTCATTATAATTTACTAGTTTATTTTTTGTTGATATTCTTCTTGGATTAACAGAATTGGTTGAAACTTGGCGCAAGGAGAAAATAAAAGAAGCCAAAAGGTTGGCCCTTGGAGGAGAGGGGTTGAATTCAACTCTTTTGAAAGAGGAAGCAGGTAACTCATAATCTGAAAGGTGGTATATTTTGGTTCTTTAGCTTATCATTGAGATGAAATGCTTAAGCATTTTTTACATGCCACAGAATGTTAAGCTTACCGGTCTGACTTACTATTTTGTAGAGATGTTAGTAAAAGTCTTGGAGTCCAACTGGGCTGTGCTGTCGGAAGACATTGGCCTTTGGATTCCCACCGAAATCAGTAATCAAGAACATGATGATAAGCCGGAAGATGTGGAAGATACAGGTAATTGTTCAATTTCTCCAGTTGATCGAAGCCACCCCCCCCCTCTCTCTCTCTCTCTCTCTCTTATAAAGATAATATAGCAGATTTCAAATGATATTTTTATATAGTTTTGGGAATAAGGATTTGAACTTGGAACCTCTTCTTCAAAGAAGAGGTTTGAAAATTTGTGGTGAGAAATGTCTGTCACTAAGGTGTTATTCTTTTATTCAGAAGATGAGGATCAAATTCTAGCTGGGAGACGTCTTCCACCAGAATGCCATGCTGAACTTCATACAGATTATGGTGGTGCGGCTGTTAGATGGGGTCTTACGCATCACAAAGAAAGTGCAGCTGATTGCTGCCAGGCTTGCTTAGATCACGCTAAAGTTGCAAAGCCAGGTGAAAAGAAATGCAACATATGGGTTTATTGTCCATCTGAGACTGGTTGCTATTCCCCAGATAAATATGAACACAAACACATGGAGTGCTGGCTGAAATCTGTAAGTCTTTTGTATCCATTAAGTTAGCATTTCATTGTACTTTTGCACCTAACCGAAGCTGTTTGCAACTCAAAACTAAAACTTTATTAAAACAAAATTGCAGTCAGAGAAGCCGAGACTGAACTTTAAGGACAGATATTCTGAAGCATATAGAAACAGCCACCCAACTGCGCCTGTTATTGTTCCTTGGGTATCTGGTGTAGTTATTGGATGACCTAATTTTGATCAACAAAGACACGGTGGGCAGTCAATTTGAGATGCAGCTTACTCTAGTTTTATGATGCCCCATTTACAATTACATCTGATCAAGAAAATTAGACCTTTTCTTATTATTATACTTTATATATATATATATATATATATATATATATTGTCTCCTTGAAACGTAGGGGAAACTGGACTTTTGACAACTAGTAAAATTTTTTCTACCACGAAAGGTGTATTGGCTGGTGTCGGCACTGATGGATTGTAAGATGTGTAAGTCCCCAGTGCTGTGGCTGCTGAGGTGAGGTTTTAGTAATAGACATGGAAAGCTTTTCGTCTGTGATGAAAAATGGATCTCTTGTAAGGGTGAAGTTGGATTGGTTGATTACCAAAATGATATTTCTGTAGTTGGAATATGGGAACCTTGGCTTGCGATTGCATTAGTTAGTCCCACCATCAAGACCAATACAGACTTGCATTTTCTTCAATTTCCACCTGTTTATAATATCTCAACTTTGAGAGCAGGCCCTTTGATAACTTTTATACATTGGTCCATTTCATCTTTAATTATATCAAGTAGGGATGTCAATGGATATGGTATGGGGAGAGTAGAGTATTTTTCATTTCTATCATTATTATCGAATTTTTAAATTATACTTATTTTTGTATTCATATTCAATAGATATTTTAAATATATTTTCATCTTCACGAGTATTTAATGAATATGAATAATTTTCGCATTTATAACTTTTAAAAAAAAATAAAACATAAAAAAAATATATTTTTTAACTTTTTAAAGAAATTTTTATCTTACATATTTATGTAATTTTTTGTAAATATATTATTATATATTTTTAATAAAAATATATTAATTTTAATTAATATAAAATAATAATTTATATTATTTAATAATAATAATAATAATAATAATAATAATATATATATATATATAGAGTATGGGCACGAGAGCACGGGATGAGTGGGGATGAGTGATATATTATATGTAGTAAAATTTAAGAACATTACCATTTTCACAATATAATATTAATTTTCATTTTCATTTGAATAAAAATTTAAAATTTTCATTGGATGATGAGTAAAATTAATATATGTGAAAAAAAAATAAAAGTAATTAAAATATTTTTTTGAATTATGTCATACATAATCAATAAGTATTTTAAAACTTTTTTCCCAACGAGACTAAAACATTGTTTCTTATTTTTTATTATATTAATTTTTAAATGTATTTTAAAAGAATTTGCATAAATTTTTTAAAAAATCATAGTGGAAGCGGGGGAAATTTTTGTTTACGGGCCTTTGGGCTTTTAAAATATAAATGGACATGGATATTTCATGAGCTCCCCCAACCAAACCACTAGATGAGTCCAAACTCGTGAAAAGCAAAAGCATGAAACTGAAACGACGACGTGCCACAGTTTTCCCTTCTCTGTCTATCTCCTTGTCCTCCGCTCTAGGAGGCGCCGCCATGATAAGCTAAAGAGGAGAGGAAGGGTTCGCTTTAACCGACTGTTTGTATACGCCTAGGGTTTATCAAACCGGACTACACTCCTTAAATTTAACTGATTTTGGTATGAATCTTTTTCTCTTTATTTTATTTATCTTTTTTGGCGGTCAATGTTCTTGCTTTTCGCACTTTTTTGGGCTTTCGAGTGCTATTTTAATTGGTTAATTTATACTGGGCTGAGAATTTCATGTTCTTAGTTACTCGTTATTGTTTAATTTATCTCATTTTGATTTTTAAAATTTGTTGTTTTAATCTCCTAATAACTGGCTGTTGTTTCATCAACATGCTCAAATTTATGGAAAAGTTTCTGCTTTTTTAAGGGTTTTTTTTTCCTTGAAGAGCTTTTTTTGTTGATGATTACATGTTATGTTCAATATTATTCTTAAAAATCAGACATAAGTTTCAGTTAAAAGAGTTTCGGATAATGGCTTCTAATAATAGGATCTGTCATTTGATTGTGAATGTCTGGATTGGGAAGTCATTGTGAAGTAGTATGAACTAACCATTCATTCTTTCAATTTTGTCCACAATGCCCTGAATAGGGGAGGCGAATGTGGGAGGTTCCATGATGCAAAAAACCCATCCTTTATCAGTGTTTTGTAAATTGAAGAACATCAAGTCCACCTTTTAAACTATTGAGTGATAGTTTCTACTAAGGTTTCTTTTCAGTAAATTTGAAGTGATAACCTTCTGTGAAATCTATTTTTTATGTATTTGCAGTGATATCAGTCTTGTTACCATTGCTTGTGAACCATGATTCTTGAAAGTAACTCCATTCATGAAACCCATTATGGCATTCTGTCTGTGAAGGAAGATGCAAGCTATGAAGAAACTCGTGCAAGTTATTGATCTGCTGTCCTTAATTCTCATCCAGATTAATTACATTCTGCTCATGAATCAGGAGAAAGATTTTTAAGCGTTCATAAGGCTTGGGAAATCCTTGGTGACCCCAAGTCACGTGCAGTTGATAATAGTGAGCTGTGCAATTCAAGATGGGATATAGTGGCCTCAGAAGGTATCATCAGCTTAGAGGATATGATGATTGAAGATGCTGGAGAAGTTATGGAGCTCTTTTACCCGTGCTGATGTGGGGATCTCTTCTCAGTTGATTCTTTGGAGTTGGGTAAAATGGGATGCACTTTGTTGAGGGATGGGACTGAGATATCTTTAAGGACCCTTGCTGATGCTTTACCAGCATCAGTTGTTCTCCCTTGTGGTTCTTGTTCATTGCTTGTTTATCTGATGATAAATCCAGATATTAAAGTTCCAAGTGAAGCTTATTTGTGATTGGTTTTCCATTTTCACATCTGATTGATGATCAAGTTATTCTTTTAATTGTCATAGGAAAGCTTTAGATATGAAGTGAAGCTGCTGACATCTATGACAACCTCAGGGACAGTTGAAGATATTCTGTATCGTGTAGCATTAGACTGAGTGAAAAATCTTGAGGAAAGTTTCCTTGATGATTTTTGAGAATATGTTTATCAGAATATGATTATGTTTGGTGCTGTTCTATGAGTAGCATTGTGAAAACCAGACATGCTTCCTCTGACATAGGAGGATGGAACTTGTAACATTGCATTTGGTCCCAGACTCCCAGTAACAAATGGATATTTTGATTCTTTGGCTTCGAACAGAGCATTTAGCCTTGGCTTTAGTAATTTTCTAAAGCTAGTTCATAGTACCAAAGCCAAGAAGCCAGAAAAAGAGCAGAAGAGGATCAGCCAATCCCAAAGGCAAAAACAATTGGACCGGTAGTTGGGGACAATGTCCTTGGTGGTCTTCAAAATTTTAATTGAATGTTGACTAAGACGAGATCAATGGAAAGTGAAACCCAGGTCATTTGACTAAAAGACTCTTGGAAGAAGATGGGTTCTAGGGAAGGAAATTCTCGTTACAGTGTCTTTGATGGAGTGAAGACTTTTCCAATAACACCTGAGGCTCTCATGGCTGAGATCAACACAGCTATTACTAGTCTTGAATATGCACGTGCTACACCTCTCTTTGACTACCCATCTTCACCTTTGTCAAGAAACAAGGGTCATGATTCGCCTAGGTATGATGCCCGAATGGCTGATGAGGCTTATGATGCGGGATGTAATGCATTGGCTGCTGGAAAGCTTGATGAAGCTTTTCATTCTTTGAATGGTTGAATAAAGGTTGTTGCCTTGTTGGTATTGACAAGGATGAGAACTTTCACCTTAGAAATTTTGAGTTTAATGATTAAACGGTACCTTACAGTAAGTAATCGCTGCTTTATTGTTTTCTGAATTAATTTCAAACCCACACACATTCCCCATGATGATCTCTCCATTAGATATTCTATTAGAAACCCTTTTCTTTTTTAGTAGTATAACCATCAAATCCTTCTTTAAAGATTCTGGATTCCTTTGACCATTTCTCCAGGATCCAACTGCGATCATTGGATGATAAAAGCTTCCTCTACTAGAGGAGCCAACCGGGCAACCCCTCCCCTCCCTTCAATTTCGGGAACTATGGAACACCATTAGTTTCATTTGACTTCAATATCCTTCTCTCCAGGAGTATAATTTTATACAGCAATGGATACATTACGGGTCCTCTTGGATTTCTGTGGGGCTCGAAGGCTTATACGCCTTTCTTTTACTTGTAAAAGCTTTGAAAATGTAGTGCGCACTTGTTCACAATCACTAGCACTTTTAGTAATGCACAACAATTATATTATCTCTATTTATTGTCAGCAAATCTTCATTTAATAATTTAACCCTGATCTGATCATTGTTAATTAATATTAACAATAATCAGCTTGATGATTACTCTCTTGTCGGGATTTTCAAATTCCCCACTGTCATAGTGTTGCTTAGAATTTTTGTCGGTTCAGATCATCTAGATGAATATCAAAGAACAATTTTCATTTTTACTTGCTGTAAGATATATGCCAGAAAATGGCTCCTTTGAAACTTAGAGATAATACTAACACGTATGGGTATTCTTGTTAATTTGGTTTTTGGTGGCCTTGGCTGCCAGCTTTTGCCTCGTGTTGTCTAGGTACTCTGCTGCAGTCCGCTGCTTCTGTTGATTCTCAATCAGTTGAACTATAAAATCTCACGCGGATGATTGAATTCAAAACCTGCGCACTTGCATATTTTAATTAAGGGAATGATATACTTAAACCACAAACCAAGGCAACTGCTAGAAACCCCTAACCAAAAAGATTCAAGTGAAATGCTAGTGGCAAATGCTAGAAACCACTAACCAAAAGATTAAGGGAAATGCCAGAGGCAAGTGCTAGAAACCACTACCCAATAGATTCGAGGGAAAAGCTAAAGGGAAATGCTAGTGGCAAATGCTAGTAACCACTAACCAAAAGATTCAAGGCAAATGCTTGTGGCAAATGCTAGAAACCACTAACCAAAAGATTCAAGGCAAAAGCTAGAATTTTAGTCCTCTTGACTAGAACTAGTCAGTTGGTCAAGCGTTTTGCCTCCTATGGAAAAGCCCTAAGGGCCAGGCTTCTTAAAGCCCTGGATCTCTCCTTACGATCGTTTCAAGCAAAAGAAAAAAAAAAAAAAGGTTGTCTTGATCCCGGTCGTCTACAAGCCTAGTTGAAATTTCCCATGCTTTATTTGAGTTTGTGACATGTGAAATGAAAGAAGAGAGCATGAATAAGGTAATTACTTTACTTCATTAGGCCGGTTCTAGCTCAGAGAAACTTGGTTGGCGAGGGTTTTTCCCGGCCAACTTTAGTGCTCCATCGGTCCAGTAAATACTAGCTAGTAGTATTACAATTTGAAGTTTACATAAATAAAGACAATCCAATTCAGAGTTCAACTCAGTTAAAGATTTTCGGGTAGGCAATAAGAACCCCACAAAATCCTGCTTTGATTCTTTTCATAATAGCCGACAGCAAAAATTGCCTGCATTTCCTTGTCACGCAACTTTGGTTAACTTTAAAACATTGACAACTATAACAACAAAAGCAAAAGCAAATTGTGTAGCAGTAGAAAAAAAAAATACATGGTATTTCAACCATAGCAATCCTCGAGTCAAAGAACGCTTGGCTTTTCCACTTTATGTTCTTTGATAACAAAAGGAAAAAAAAAACAGGTTGGTTTCTTCTATGTTTCAGTTATTGCCATTCCTTAGTAATCACTACGAGAAAAAAAAGATATTGGTTTTATACCAGAAAAGCTTCATTCAGGTAGCAAGTGCATGTGACATTTTCCTCCACTCAATTTCGTGACGTCTTCGTCACGGAGACTGATCATTCTATCTACCTCCCTCGAGGTATTTGACGTTGATCGAACGATTTAGGGTTAATTTTGATACCACTTGTTATAGATCGAGATTTAAGCTTCGAATTCGTACGGTTCCAGGATCCGGTTCACAAGATCAAACGGTTTAGGGCTGGCTCTGATACCACTTGTTACAGATCGAAACTTAAGCTCCAAACTCGAGTGACTCTAGGACCTGGACATCCACTCATCCGGTGTCTCAGATCAACTTAACCGTCACAGTTCACATCCTTGTGAGGTATTATCCGCTCTGATCTCTTGACTTCACGGTTTTATCTTACAAAAAGCGTCTCATAAAACAGAGGGGGTGTAAACTTTTATATATTTCAGTGATCCTCTTATTATGTTCGATATGAGATTCAAAACTCTTACTTAGATCCGTAAAACATGTGGGTTCCTCACGTCTATAAATATTGAGAGGCAAAAGCTTAAGGCCATCTCATTCTCATCGTTATTCATCACTAGTGTAACTTTTTTCTCTAAAATACTACGTTTACATTTCTCTTAGTTTGAGCTTTTCACAATTCATTGTTAATTTTCATTTCTCGCTCGCATGGCAAAAAACAACCTCATTTTAGCTGGTGCCCTTCTCCTTGTGTTATTGTTTGGTTATGGAATCACATTTACTGAGGAAAGGCAGTTTTTCAAAGCAGGCCATAGATTAGATGGGTCCGGAAACCATGCAACAAATGTGATGAGCAGCCGCAAGAGAAACTTGAACCGTGACGTTTTCGCGGATGCATCAGCTGCCCATAGAAATGATGATTTCCGCCCCACAACTCCCGTTCACAGTCCCGGCGCCGGTAACTCTACTGTACCTGCCGGTAATGATAATAACTATCACTAGTTATTAGCACTATGACGCCATTTTAATCAATCTCGTCGGCTATCCTACGATTATATTAGGACTGCTGAAAAAAAAATATAATATAAAGTTTGAAGTTGTACAACTTTTAAGGTTTCATCTTTTTTTTTTTTTTTGGCGCAATTTGGAGATAAGCTATGCTAGTTGCCAACGATGGCAGTTGTTGCTTTTTCCTTATGTAAGCATAGGCATTATGTGCTATAATATAATAAGTTGTTTTATATGATCAGCAATGACCTTGTATCCTTAGTATACTTTATATTCCTTAACACTTAGGGTATGATATCCTTTTGCCTTTTTAAGTTCCAACTCCCTCCAGCACTTTGATTTTTTCAATTCGGAGCCCCTTACCATCACTACTTCCTGTTTTGCATTAATATTTCAGTGTGGTATGTTGGTGAGTCTCGAACTTTTAATTTTGATCAAAATTTAAATTTTCATACTTCAAATATTAAAAAAAAAAACCTATATTCAAGAACTAGCTAGTTAAAAGGGATATTTCGAAAAAAAAAAAAAAGGTCTGAATTTTTTTATAAATGGAATAACAATAGTTGACAAATTAAGTTGAGTTTTTATGATAAAATGTTTCAATTATTAGTCCTTGATTTCTATGAATGATAGCACATTAATTATTAGTTCTTGATTTCTATGAATCATTTGATTTCCGTCATTGCTAAAAGGCTGAATTATTCATTTATTCTTTTATGAAAGCATATATCAAAGTCAAAGGGGAAGGGACATGATGAGGACACTAGAAAAAGGAGAATGATATATCCCCAAAAAAAAAAAAAAGGAAAAAGTAAAAAGATTAATGGGCTTTTTTATCAAGCACTCATCATGTATGTCAAGGAAAGCATACCCACATTTTATTTTTAAAATTTGATCATTGGATCTATATGCCAATGTAGATGGAAAGTGCAATCCATGATCCATTCTATGAAAAATATATGAAATCACTTAACAAATAGATATGATGTTATATATATATATATATTATGTCAATTATTGAATCTTGAATTTTTTTTTTCTGTAATTAAGATCGTCAAGAATTTAAAGATTGAATTATGACTAATTAAGTGTTCGGTATAACACCAAGATATCACACTGTCATAAGTTGATAAATTTTGAAATCTTTGACTTGATGAATGAGCAACAAAATTAATAAGAAATAAATCAGGCGAAACTTGCAAAGCCAGGTCCCTTTAAGGACAGATATTCTGAAGCATACAGAAATAGCCACCCAACAGCTCCTGTTATTGTTCCTTGGGTATCTGGTGTTGTTAGTGTATGACCTAATTTTGATCAACAAAGACATGGTGGACAGTCAATTTGAGATGCAGCTGACTCTAGTTCTACTGAAATCTTTATGATGCCCCATTTACAATGGCATCTGATAAAAAAAATTAGACCCTTTCTTATTATAATATTATATTTTCCCTCTTCGAACATGATTAGATTCCAGTATCAGATTCCGGAACAGACTTGTCTCCTTTTTTGCTAAAAATAAACGTTAAAGATTTTTAATTCTGCAATTTGGAGTTGATGAATTCATTGAATGTTGACCAAGAGCAGATCAAAATGGAAAGCAAAACCCAAGTCATTGGACTAAAAGACTCTTGGAAGAAGATGGGTTCTTGGGAAGGAAATTCTCATTACAGTGTCTTTGATGGAGTGGAGACTTTTCCATTAACACCTGAGGCTCTCATGGCTGAGATCAACAAAGCTATAATTAATCTTGAATATGCACGTGCTACACCTCTCTTTGACTACCCGTTTTCATCTTTGTCGAGAAACAAGGGTCATGATCGCCAATGTATGATGCCCGAATGGCTGATGAGGATTATAAAGCTGGATGTTCTGCATTGGCTGCTGGAAAACTTGATGAAGCTTTTCATTCTTTGAATGTTTTTCTCTCCAAATGCCCACCTGAGAAAACCCCTGCTGTTGCCAAGCTTCAGTCTGTTATATCTCTCACTTCTCAGCAACTCCACAAATCTCCTGTTTCAAACTAAACCATATTGCTATGGTATTCTTTTTAACTTAATTTTCATTGTTTCACCCGAATTTCAGTTAAAAGATTGCTTTAGTACTAACTTATTAAATTGCTGCTTTGTAGATGCTTTTGCATTTCTGTAATCAAGTATAAGATTCTTTCTCCTTATCTAAAACCAATTTGAATGTCTATAGTTGAATTTGGATCAATCAATTCATCTAAATAACAATAGTTCAGCTTATATGCAAAAGGATTTGAAGGTCATTTTCATAGTTCTTTTTGTGTTATTGCCTCACTCCTTGGGTATTCGGAAGCATCGAGACTATTGTGCCATATTAAGAGCTTTTCTGGGGCTATAGGAGCGCAAGGTTTCATGGTAATTTACCACTTGGATTTAGATTTGACTATTTAAACTATCTTCTGATCAGTAGACAGGAAAAAAAGAAAGCTGGATCACAATAGAGATGCTATAGCTAAACAGGTGAAACTCAACTTTCATATCCATTCAAATTTGGATTGCTGATGATTCTGGCCAAGTTTCTTCTAGCTGTGCTTGTGCACCTGTTTTCCTCATGACTTGGTTACTTTTGCAATATTGCACGGTAAAGTTAGATGTCATCAAGTGATGCTGAGCCAAAGAATTGTTAATTATTATTGTGCCAAGACGATTTCGAAAGAATGTTACGATGTTTGTACGGGGTTGCAGATTTGCAGTTGAGTTAAATTTTTGTTGATACAAGTGTTTCCTATTTGAGGCAAATATCGTACTTGCTGTTCTCCATGGCAATACATAAATCATAATCAATTACTGTAACTTTGTGTGAAAACTATCAAAAAGCTTCATACGCACACAATTCAAACACTCAACTTAATTTTAGTACATAATTTCAGGTGAATTATTTTTGGAAAGATGCAACAAACAATGAACATTGAGTTCCAACATTCAGAATTGTGGAAATGATTTCTCTTGTAAGCCAGTTTAATGGGTAAGCTAAACTGCAAATGAAAAATCACAAAAAACTTCCAAAAACCAAGTTAAACAACAATTTTCTTACCCTCCCACTTATAGAGAGAGAGAGAGAAGCAGGCATCACAAATTTAATGAGGAAACTCGATAGTCACTTTGGATTTTCAGAAAATAACATAAACAGAGAGCTTTGACCAACAATCGATTATATCAATGTAGATGCAATTCCTGAACTTGGAAAGAGTATACAGATGCTAAGAGTCGAGAACAAGGTTAACAAGGTTATTCTAGAACACAACTGTATCGAGCATAGTTCCCAAAGTCTGAACTATGTTTGAGGACATCAAGTTTGAGACATGTTCCTCTAAGTGCTTCTTGGCATCTTGTCGCCCAACATTTGCAATTGCCAGCTTCTCAGGAGGTAATTCATCTTCCTCCTGCACTGCTTTATTGTATTTTATAGCTAAATTGAGCATTTCCTGCACAGATCAATATAAACCAACATCATGACTTTGCCTTATAGAAGACAATCTTCAATTCTTCATTATAACAGGAAATTAATTTATTTGGGATTCACATTAGAACTCTTTGAGCAACATTCTAAATGCAACTTCATATACCGTTGAGAACCACAGCCCACATTTCTATAAACCTTTCCTGATGAGCATTCCTAAAGTGACTCATTGCAAGGCAAGTTAACACTTATTAATGTTTTTCTTCTCCTTCAATCCAAGGGCCTTCAAGCACCTCACATTAGTGAGGGACAACATAAAGTCATATATATCTTACCAATACACAATCAACAGTCCAACAACATACAATAAGATGATAAAGTCTGCAGAAAGCCTTCACGCACCTGAACAGTCTGTTCATTGGTTTTGGAATGGGTATCAAAACGCCTAAGTGTCAATCCATCTGTCCACTTCTTCTTATGAAGATTCAACAGCATTTTTTCCTCAAGTTCATTCTTTCTGTAATTAATGGCTATAGAGTAATAATGTCTATTTAGCCCATGGATCAATGCCTGGCAATGCAAAAATAATGACATGAGATCATTCCCCACATAAAAGAAGCTAAAGAAAACACTCAGACAGTATTATTTTGGCACTCACTTGGATAGATGGCTTATTAAGATGCCCAAGATTAGATGTCGTCTGACGTGGCTCTTGGCCAAGCATCATGGTTTGCGGGTTGATCAAACGGAATGCATCAATCACCACCTTCCCTTTAACACTCTGAATTGGGTCCACCACCACTGCTACAGCCCTTTGATTTAAAGCTTCAAAACTCTAAAAGCAATGACAGATGTTAGCAACAGATATACCAGCTTTCATTAACCAGAATAATTAAAGAGAAACAAATCCATATAAACCATTGAACCGATCTTCAATTATAAAGTTTGAAATGGAAAATTTTAACTAATTGACACATTATGGATGAAAAGAGCAAGTATCAAAGCTTTTTGGGCCATGTATATGTACCCAATATTTAATAAACTACATTGATATTTCCAGGCTCCAGACATATCGTACAAGGCATCATTTTTGTTAGCCACAATGTATGAGCCAAACCTGCGGTCTGATAAGCATCAACAATAATGGCAGATCCATTTTTTTCTGGAAAGGTGGAAGATTTTTTTTTTTTTTTTTGGGGGGGGGGGGGGGAGGTGTTTAAAAACCATGTATCACTATTGATACAAGTTAGTGCAGTGTCCAAAATGATCCCTATCCCCTCCTATTCCTTACATGACTGGAACCATTTTATTAATTAGGGAAAGAGTTGTCTAGCAATCCTCATACCTTTGAACCACCCACACCCTCCCAACCAAAGAAAAAGAAAGGACTCAAAAGCACAGGAACAAGAATCCTACAAAACAATTAATAACAGGAAAGTAAATAAAGAGCTAGATAAGTAGAAAATGTTTTCATTTCTTTGTAAGAAAAGAATGGTGTGACTAATTACTTGTATGGTAACACCAACCAAAGACAGTAAAGCTCATGACTAACAAGAAAATCTTCTAAACAACAATAACATAATAAGTTGACTAGCATGTTATGATGCAGCACCATGCAAAAATGTTAAACACAACCTGCTGTGTGTTTATGTCCACACCAGAAAGCCAACAACCAAATCCAGGATGCGAATGGTACCAGCCGACCACCATCTCTGGTCTGCAACACCAAGCAAAGAGATCAGCATGCAATCTAGAGAAATAGGTCATCAATGATTACAAAATCATCTAATTTTGTCATACAAAGTATCATCTCTTCAAATTTTGAGTCCCTTCCAACAACAATCACAAATTGATATGAATGAAACTAGAGTGTTGATAATACCTTCCTGTTTGTTTGAGCATATCAAGCATATTTGTTTGAAAAACATGATCCACAGCTTCGACACTAACACCAGTACCGCTCTGTGGCATTGCAAAGACATCCACGACACGCACAGTGTACTCATCAACGAACTCTCCCAACATCAAACCCATAACTTCCATGGGAACTCCAGCTCTTCCTATAAAATATTCACATCAATCAAACACAGAATCAAAATTAAAACAACCACCCTTGGTTAAGTTTAAACTCTTTCACCCTAAAAATGAAATCGAAACAGCTGATGTTTCCCATAGAAAAATACATGTAAAGCATATCAAAAAATTAAAATTTTTATTTAATGAAAAACACCCAAATTGCAAAAGCAAAGTAGTATAAGCCCATCGACCATTTCTGTTATTCTCTAAACAAAACTATAAAGCAGATACTGAGAAGAAGGGAGAGAGATAGAAAAGTACCGTGCTTGAGCATTTTGAGGAGGGCAAGAGAGGAGATGTAGACCTGCTCCGACGAATCGAGCGTAGGGGAATCCGGCGGCGGGTGACCCAACGCGCCTCCTGCACCTGCGAACATCCTCTGCAATCTCTCCATGCCTGACATTGTTGATCGGCGTTTTGGGAACTTTACTTCGGCTGCAAGACAAACGCTTTGCTCTCTTCAGTACTTTTGGGCTGCAAAGGCATATATATAGAGAAGCTCATCATTCGGTTCGGGTCCAATTTTAAGAAACGGACTCAAGTGGTCCAAAATAAAATATATGGGCTTCTTTGAAAAAATTTATGACCCAGTCAGCCTGGTTATAATAATTCTCAATTTGGGCTTGATGGGCTTGGTTAAAATAATTTTCACACATAGCTGGTCGTCAAGTGATAGCAAGCCAGGTATGCGTGAATGGCCATTGCTCATGCTTCAACAAGGTCATGCTGTGTAGTAGTAGTATTGTCCTACTTTCACTGCTTGAAGTGGTAACACTGAAAGTATTTCTAAATTTGAACCTGTAAAGTTTTATAACGTTATTATTTTGGTATTTGGGAATTAGAAGAATTCTTGTGTGTGATTTATGTTGTGTCCTTCGAGAAACGCTAATCTGGGAGAATTGTGCTCACTAACAGCCTCTCTTTACAAAGTGAAGGCAAAAGAATTTTCATTTACTAAAATGAGATTAATGCAAGAGCCTAAAACCATTTTTTTTTTTGCCAATATAGATTTCGTCAGACCAAACCTATCCTCTTTTTCTACTGTTTCATTGTCCTTAGGTTTCTGAACAGTTCCTTGGAGAAAGGGAACTGGAGATCTATAAATGGGAGGGTTATGTACAAGAATCATTGAAACGTTTACATGAGAAGTTCAACATGCTTGGAGAGGTTGATGATTGATATTGCTATGATTGAGGAAGCAGCAAAGTCATTCAAGTTTTTGGGGCAGATAGTTCGCTTGATCATCTTACAAACCAGATTGGTTTGCATCACCGCTCTGTATATTTGTAAGCCCATAACCTATTCCACCTTATTTTTTCTCCCCTACCGCCTCCCTGGCACTGCTGCCCTTGATATTGGAAGATGATATCAAATATGTTGATATACCCTGGAAACAAAGAAACATTAATTCCTCTTGCTCAAACTTTAGCCTGGCTTTCCAAAGCTCTTTATTTCAGCTAATATGAATAAGGTGTGTTTTCTTGCTGTTCACCAGGGGTAACACATTCACCTAGTTGTCGGGACAGCTAGCAAATGGAGTGACAGTACCTCTGTCATGTCTTCAGGAACACTAATGTCCTCTAGTGGTGACATTTTTACATTGGACACTCAGCAAAGGAAGCAGCATTTGTTTTTATGCCAGGTATATGGTGGTCACTTGTGTCTCCACTGACTGGTGATGTGTAAAAATAAACAGCAAGTTGGATAGTGGTGATGCTTCTTGTTCTTGGGGGTTTGGTTTTCATGCAACATGCAATCAATTATAACAATGCGTATTAATTTTGGAGCCATCACATGTCTTTCAACCATGGTTGAATGCCAAATTTGATAGTATGTGGATCCGTAAGACCGCACGAGAAGCCCCAATTTTAGGCCCGTTACTCAATAGTCATTATCTACTATTTGATCCAAAAATCATGAACCGACCTTTCCCATTTAGCCCATATCAAGCCGGCCTTTCTCATTGTACTGTAAAGGCCTGCAATATTCAAACTGAAGCTCGTTAGCTTTGGCCCAATAAAGTAGGCCCTTCGGCTCATATGCTGAAAGTCTGAAACAATGGACCATCTTCTGTTTAGCTTGTGCTTCTTACCAACTTATCGTTCATTTTTCAAGGTTGAATGAAGGTTGTTGCTTTGTTGGCATTGACAAGGATGAGAATTTTCACCTGATAGAAATTTTGAGTTTAATGATTAAACCGTGGTTTACAGTAAGTAATCACTGCTTTACTGTTTTGTAAATTAATTTCACACCCACATACATTCCCCATGATGATCTCTCCACTAGATATTCTATTACAAACCCATATTTTTAAGTAATATAACCATCAAATCCTACTGCAAAGATTCTAGATTCCTTTGACTTATACACCTTTCTCTTTCAAGCCCAAAGTCCCAGACTTCTCCTAGTTCTAGACTTCTTTCTGAAAGCTCAATTCCCCACCGCATGTTCTTTGTAATGATCACCATTTGCGACTAATGGAGCCCATTACTCCAGGATCCAACTGTGTTCATTGGATGATAAGAGCTTCCTCAACTCGAGGAGCCAACCAGGCAACCCATCCCCTCCCTTCAATTTTGAAGACTGAAATAATGGAAGCTAGGCTTTGGGAACTATACAACACCATTAGCTTCATTTGACTTCAATATCCTTCTCTCCAGGAGTTTTAATTTCTTACAGCAATGGATGTTGATTTGTGTGGGGCTCGAAGGCTTATACGCCATTCTTTTACTGGTAAATGCTTTGAAAATGCAGTGCGCACTTGGTCACGATCACTAGCACTTTTAGTAATGCACAACAATTATATCATCTCTATTTATTGTCAGCAAATCTTCATTTAATATTTTAACCCTGATTTGATCAGTTTTAATTAATTATAACAATAATCAGCATGACGATTACCCTCTTGTTGGGATTTTCAAATTCCCCACTGTCATAGTGGTTTTGTCGGTTCAGATCATCTAGATGAATATCAAAGAACAATTTTCATTTTTACTTGCTGTAAGATATATGCTAGAAAATGGCTCCTTCGAATCTTAGAGATAAGACTAACACGTATGTGTATTCTGGTTAATTAATTTGGTTCTCGGTGGCCTTGGCTGCCAGCTTTTGCCTTCTGTTGTTTCAAGTTATGTTGTGTACTCTGCTTCTGTTGATTTTCAATCAATTGAACTGTAAAATCTCACGCGGATGATTGAATTCAAAACCTGCGCACTTACATATTTTAATTACGGGAATGATACATACTTAAACCACTAACCAAAAGATTCAAATTCATGCATGATGATCAGCTAGAATATGGGTCGTCTTGACTAGAACTAGTCAGTTAGTCAAGTGTTTCACCTCCTATGGAATAGCCATAAGGGCCAGCCTTCATAAAGCCCTGTATCTCTCCTCACGATCGTTTCAAGCAAAAGAAAAAAAAAAGGTTGCCTTGATCTCACTCGCTTACAAGCCGATTTGAAATTTACCCTACTTTATTTGAGTTTGTGACACGTGAAAATGAAAGAAGAGAGCATAAATAAGGTAATAACTTAACTTCATTAGGGCAGTTCTAGCTCAGAGAAACCTGGTTGGCGAAGGTTTTTCCTGGCCAACTTTAGTATTCGAACGGTCCAGTACATACTAGATAGTAGTATTTCAATTGAAATTTATATAAATAAATTCGAATCTAAAATTTAAATAGTTCATGTAATTACTTTTAAGAAGTAAGATCAATAAGTTTGAAGTTCAAAGCATGTTTAAATCTTGCAATCTTTTAGTGAAGATTTTCAGGTCGGCAGTAGGAGCCCCACCAAATCCTGCTTTGATTCTTATCATGATAAACGACACATTGCACAAAAATTGCCTGCACTAGCTTGTCACGTAACTATGGTTAACTTGTATAGCAGTAGAAAAAAAAATACATGGTATTTCAACCATCTAATGTTGAGAAAGCAATCCTCAAGTCAAAGAAGGTATGCAGGGGTTCTTTGAAATTTTAAGAATGGCGGAGAATTCATCACAAGCTTGAAAGTTTGAGGGGCACAAGGAAATTTGGAAGACACTTGGATTTTCCACTTTATGTGCTTTGATAACAAAAAGGGGGAAAAAAACAAGTTGGAATCAATTTTGATACTTCTTTTTATATGTTAGTCTGTTATATGTTTCTGTTGTGGCCATTCCTTACTCACTACAGAGAAAATTGAACTTGGAAATTAGCTGGCGAATCTTTTGATGAAGGGCCAACTTTATCTTCGCTTTCTCTTATATTTGATCAGTTACTAATGAATTTTTGATAAAGAAATGCATGTTTTAGTACTTAAATTCTTAATCAAAATGAAAAAGGAGGCTTGGCTAGTTGGCTGTAGCAGTAGCACTTTGATAAGGATTTTTCCAGGAACTTTTGAAGGCAAGATTAAAGGAGCAAACCAAAGCAAAGTCTAGATATTGGTTTTATTTCAGAGATGTCTCATTCAGGTAGCGAATGCGTGCAAGTTTCCTCCACCATCATACATGTAATTTTTCAGCTCTCTAGCAAGTCAAATATATAGAAAGAACGGGGAACAAATGTTGCATGGACATGCAGAAAACAACAGTACTACAGCTCACTAGATATCAACAGATATGGGAATATACTGAACCTGTCCTTTCAAAGGAATTCAAGGGGACATCGATCATAATAATCCATAAGACTCGATTGCAACAATTGTAACCGTTAATTTAACTTCGAATATTTGGTAACCAGCACGGGCATGCATGCGGGTTCCTAAAGTCTATAAATACCCAGAAAGGCAAAAGCTTAAGGCCATCTCATCCTTATCAATCATCACTAGTATAACTTTTTTCTCTCAATTACTACATTTACATGGCAAAAAACAACCTCATTTTAGCTGGTGCTTTTCTCCTAGTGTTATTGTTTGGTTACGGAATCACATTTACTGAGGAAAGGCAGCTTCTGAAGGCAGGTCATAAATTAGATGAGTCCGGAAACCATGCAACAAATGTTATGAGCCGCAGCAAGACAAACTTGAACCGTGACGTTTTAGAAGATGCATCAGCTGCCTATGGTACTGATGGTTTCCACTCCACAACTCCCGGTCACAGTCCCGGCGCTGGTCACTCTACTGAACCCGCCAGTGATGATAATAACTAGATTTATCACACATATGTAATAATATTAGTTATTACCACGGTGTGAAATAATGTCTTATGTCATGTGTCGCCTTTTTAATCAATCTCGTAGGCTATCCTATGATTATATTAGCACTGGTGAAAAAAATATATAATATAAAGTTTGGAGTCGTCTTTTTTAATTGTGTCCCTCGTACAACCATTAAGTTTTTCTTTCCCTTTTTTTTTTTGTTTTTTGCAATTTGGAGATAAGCTATGTAGTTGCCAACGATGGCAATTGTTGCTTTTTCCTTATTTTAGCATAGGCATTATGTGCTATGATCTAATAAGGTGTTTTATATGATCAGCAATGACCTTGTA